TAAAAGAGATTGATAACACGTGGCAATGTTGGTAATCACCATAGCTAAGTAAAAATTTTTGAATCTCTCAAATCATCCTCATTACTTTTAAGTTGCTTGGCTTGTATATAGGAGTGGATGCTGAGATGGTTTATACTAAATAGAATAGATAAATTGTAAGTTGATTTGTTCTTTGATCTATTTCTTTTGTGTGGAGCAGTTGTTTATTATCTTCACGATTTCTTTGCCTTCAATACTGGTAGATCACACTGTTGATCAGTAATATTAATGAAAAGTATGATCCAACATTAAAAAATAAAAGCACATAAACATTTTCATAAGTTTTAACATATTTCAAACTGAGGAACCTGAAATGCAAAGTTACAGCAAATAGAGATACCATTGGGAAGAAGAAGAAGCATATAGATTGGAATTCTTTCTGATTTCATCTTTCATTTGAACTAGAGCTACTTATATATATATATAGATTATTTAAGCTATCTATCAAGGTTATTGTTCTTTTATGATTTTACGCATTTATAGAAATTCAGTTGAGATTTTTTCTGAATTTTCTTGAATTTTTAATGATTTTTATATTGTTTGAATTGTTCATTTATGGCTCTGTCTCAACTACTTCTTAAATTAATTTATGAATTTTCAATTTATATAATTCAAAAGATATTTTGTATATGTTTATAGCGCGGGACTCAATATGCCCTTCTAGCTACCTCATGCTTTGTAACTTACTACATAAGGTAGCTAGAAGGGCTAATTTAAAGATTATAACAATGTACAGAATTTTCTATAACGCAGTAAGTTACAAAGCATGAGGTAGCTAGAAGGGCCAATTGAGTCCCGCGCTATAAATATATACAAAATATCTTTTGAATTATATAAATTAAAAATTCATAAATTAATTTAAGAAGTAGTTGAGACAGAGCCATAAATGAACAATTCAAACAATATAAAAATCATTAAAAATTCAAGAAAATTCAGAAAAAATCTCAACTGAATTTCTATAAATGCGTAAAATCATAAAAGAACAATAACCTTGATAGATAGCTTAAATAATCTTTCATTAACCTACTCAAATCAAATTAATACCCAAATTAACTTGGAAGAATGAAATAATTTTATGTAAAGTCATAAATTATAACAAATATTAAACAAAATAAAAATTTAAGTAAACGTCTCATTTTTATAAACAAATTAAATAGATTCCCTAAAATGCCTAAAAGTTAAAATATTTTTTTAAATGAAATAAAATCAGAAAAAAATAAATAAATAAATTCTTTTTGAACTTATAACACCATAACGAATAAAAACCAACATGAGTGAGGTGAAATCAAATCTAAAAACAAAATTGTCCTTTGTAAAATCATAAAAGGCTAAATAAAATAAGTGAACTATGTAAAATATTACAATTTATTAAATAAATTCTAGATTAAAAATTAAACCCAAACCAAAGTTAAATCAAAATATAATCAAATTCTAAAGAAACTTTTCTAAACTCTACCCAACTTTCTTGAAATTTAATTTTTAATTATTAAAAATCATTAAAATAGATTTATATACTTTTATTCCACCTTCTCAGGTGAAATAATTGCATTATGTTTATTTGTTAGAACTTTTTTGTAAATATTTAGTAATGATAGTGATAGTGAGTGATATTTAATAATGATAATAAATATTTAGTAAATATTTAATAATGATAGTTATAGGGATATTTAGTAAATATTTACTAAATATCATATCTAATTTAGTAAATATTTAATAATGATAGTGATATTTTATAATGATACTAAATATTTAGTAAATATTTAATATTAACTAAATATATAGTAAATATTTAGTAAATATTTAGTATCTATTTACTAAATATTTAGTTTATTTACTAAATATTTAGTAGATATCATATCTAATTTAGTAAATATCATGTCTAATTTAGTAAATATTTAATAAGTTTTAAATAGTGAAGCACTATCATATATTTAGTGTGTGTATATATATATATATATAAGGGAATCAAAGTAATTTGTTCTCATATAGCAACAACACAGGTTTCGCAAGTTATATTCCCATGAAATAATATATTGATCTTTATACAATAACTTCAAAATGTAATTTATTGTACGACAACTTCGCCACTTGATTTACCAACAGCTGCAGCCATCCCAAATGAAGCCTTAGTGCGATAAATTTAATTAAAATTTTAGCATTTGTTATTTGAGTTAAAATTTTATGTTCTTTAGAAAGAATTAGAGAACAAAGTCTATCATACAACTGGCTTAACTCAAAAAAGTCCTAACAAATAAAAAAGTATAAATCTATTTTCATGATTTTTAATAATTAAAAATTAAGTTTCAAGTATGTTGGGTAGATTTTAGAAAAGTTTTTTTTTTAGAATTTGATTATATTTTGATTTAACTTTGATTTGGGTTTTATTTTTAATCTAGAATTTATTTATTAAATTTTAATATTTTACTTTACTTAGCCTTTCATGATTTCGCAAAGGAATTTTTTATTTTTAGATTTGATTTCACTTCATATAATATTTTGTATGAATCTCGAGGCATATTTAAGTTGGAAACTTTCAAAATTAAATTTGAGGCCATCTTAACTCCAATTTCAACAAACTTATAGTCATACTGAACGTCCTAAAGAGACGAACCCAACGATATAACTCGACCCCAAATGAGCCCTGATATCAAAGCCCTGAAGATTATTTGAAAGGTTCAAAGCCTAAATTGGATGACCAAATGAGATTCAAATGTAGCATGCTTATAGTCTAATCGAGCAAATTGGTGAGACAAATCCAATTAGCCAAAGATCGTTGAATTCTGAAATCATTAAGGCACTTATGCACTTGAAAAATGCTCTATGATCGGGGATATATATATATGAGTTATTCTATGGAGCACTTCAAATCTGCCACAGATCTTCTCTATGTTTATGAGGCATGTCACTCTAAAAAATTTATAAATAGACTCTTATTCTTTACATGAAGGGGAACTTTTAGTTGGAGATTGGAGAGAGCTCTGAGAGGCATCAAGAACTCTAGTACCACCACCGCCGAATCTCCGTCGACCGTCGCTGACAGCTGACAGACTCCCGTCCAACCATCATCGGGCCATCACCTAGCCGCCAATCACCTCTAAACTTCCACCCAGCCGTCGACCATGCATTGCCGGACTCCCGCCCGACCATCATCAGACCACCGCCTAGCCGCCGACCACAGGCGAATTTCCACCCGGCCGTTGATCGTCACAAGACATCCACCCTGGCCTGTTGTCAATCGTCGTCGGACTTCCACCAGACTATAGTTGAACCTATGCCCGGCTGCCAACTGCCGTTGGGGCTCCACCCATCCACCTTTGAACTCTACCCAGACTATTGTCGAACCACCGCCCGGTCGCCGACAGCCGCCGAACTCCCGCCCAACTATCGTCGGACCACCACACACCCCCAAACTTTCACCTTTGGACTTTCTCCAAACTCTCCAAACTATTGTAATATCACCACCTCTTAAGTCTAGAGACGGGTCAAACTTTGTAACTAAGTTGAATCTAGTGGAGCCTTTTCACCTAGGCGAGGTTCCATGGTTTTTCCCTCTTTGGGCTTTCCACGTAAGTATTTTTGGTATTTTTCTGCCCTTTCTTCAATACATATTTGTGTGCTGGATATATGTTCATTCCTAAACTAAAAAATTCACTCACTCTATCGACGTGAATATTCTAGCCCTCAACAAGTCTATACCATTGGGATTGAAATTGAACCCCTGCAGACATTGCATCAAGCTCCAACCTCCTCTTAGAACAAAAAAAAACTATTGGAATCTAAACAAACCATGAAGTACAGTAAAGCTGTATTGTTTTGCGAGAAAGTAACTATTTTAGAAAGGATTAAAGCACAACATGGCTTTTTCTCCCATCTCTCATTTCTTTGCTGACTGTGCGATTTCGCTGGCTTGCATGTGGCTGTCAACCTTGCCACGACCGTTGATTTGGATCTGCCCTCCAACAGCAAAGGTAGGGACCTCCACCACCCTAATTCAACCCTACCATTGCTGGCACCTTGTTGTTTTGTCTAGCTTTAGCACCTCACAAAGCAATGCTAAATTATTGTCCCATTGCTTCCATGGCTGTCAAGCCGCCTGAGAAAGGTTGCCATCCCCCTTCCATGTCAGCTTGACTTCTTAGGAAATGAACAACACAACAAATTCAGCACAAATTTTCTCACCAATTTTTATTGTCAGTGGATCATTCAAATACATACATGCAGAAGTCATTCTTTTTAATGACTAATTAACAGTAAACTTTTTTCACAATTCCTTATGGCCTCTCTCTAGGCTTCAGAGTAATCGAATATGAATGAAGCATACACGTAAAACCAGCTTATTAAGGTCCATATTTTGTTAACATGTTTAACAGAACTTCTTTGTCTTTGCTTAAAGGTTAATCTCCATATTGAACTGATCTGCAGAATATATCCAAAGCAGTTTATTCTGCACTGACTTGCTTGACTTCTGAACTTATTAGCAATAATTTCTGATCAGAATGCGGACAATGCGGTTGTCTAATATGACAAAAATAAGGAAATCTAATGAAGAATATTTATCTATTATATGCAACTAAACTATATATGACGAAAAGAATTGTTTAACTTATAGGATACTGATGCCTAGAAATAAATATTTTCTCCTCATCAGCGTAACATATTGGGATCTACTTATCAAATGTCAAGTTTAAATGTCCTCTATGCACTCAGGTAACCAATAATATTAACTAGGTTGTATAGAAGAGAGAATAGGTGGGGCACGGGAGCTTAAGGTTTCGTTTGGGACAGCTTTAGACCACATAAATTCTTTGCTTTCAAGAAAATTTTGTGCTAAGAAGTTACTTTACAAAGCAGTAAGAAAGTTTTCTCAAACGAAGCCTAAGTTGGCCATCTTGTGGCTTCCACTATACTCTAAACAAATAAATATATATATACTCTAAAGTTATGTAAAGCTTCAACAAAAGACCAAGCAGAGTTGTCTCAATTCAGGAATTCAATAATACCGTTCTACCAGTCAGATTCTTTTAAAAAGCTAGAGAAGTGTGGACATACAGCTCTTGTGCAACATACAGCATAAAAATTAGAAATTAGTCCCCTTCCACTGCCTCTTTCTATCCAATTATCCAATGCTCGCCCCATCTTGTTAAGCTTATTGAAGCTTAATAATCATATAATCTGTATTATTTTGTATTAATATTGTATTAATATCAATACATAATAATACTGATAGATCAACGGCACATGAACAAATTTTGACTGTCTTTGAAGGCTGAAAGCTCTCCTCCTCTTCTTCTAAACAAAGTTCATTAGCTCTTAGGGGTTATTAACTCGCCAATTTTCTCCTATTTTATTAATATCGATCGATCTATCTCTCCCTTCTTATAGAGCAGTAGTTCTCCATGCTCCATAGTTGAGTCCAGAAATCTGGTGGGAGCTCATTACTGGCCACTGTAAATGTGGTCGATATAGGAACCAGACACAGCCCAAGGCTTCTAAGATCTTTCTTTGCTCTATCGCCATTCTTCTCCTGCCTTTCCAAAATCTGATTTCAAGTTAAGCAAAGCATTATTAAGCCATTAATCTCAATTAAGTAGGAAAAACTGTCAGTAATTAATTACCTGTTGTTTTGTCTTCTGCTGCCTATTTATTAGATATGGATTACTTAGCCCCTGGAATTAATTGAAAATATATAGTTGTTTAAGCTTAATTAAGAAATATATTCGAGTAATCTTATAACTTGAAAGGCAGGGAACTTACATTGACTTGCTGGTGAAGGTACTTGATGTACTCGATTGCTTCATGGAGAACTGAAGCCGTATCAGTCTGGATGGAAAAGAAAAAAAAAAAATTGTGATTTTTAAGCATATTTTGATATAATATTTATATAATAGATATAACATTTTTATTGACTTTCTAATAATTTGCTTTGTTTGATCTTGATGACTGTTAATATGCTGATATTAGTATGTTGGCGACGAGAAATTATTCAGTGTGGAGTTCGGATGGGAAGTCCGAATGGAGATTTCCCATCCAGACTCCGCACGGAAAAATTTCTTGTTGACGACAGCTTTATCAACATGATAATAAAGATTGCTATATTCTACTTTAACAAATTTTATTTTAATGTTTTGGCTTTGGACATCTTTGAAACAGCTTTTAACTTAATTGCTTTTAAGATCACAATCTCACTTATGTCTTACAACTACTTCCTTTTTATTTTCTTATTACTTTTTAAAAAATTTATAGTGAGAAGTATTTTTTTTGCAACGAAGGCTTCGTTTGGGATAGTTTTCTTAATGTTTCTTAAAACAACTTTCTACTATTAAGCTGCTTTAAGAAGCAGGAAGATAACCATCCCAAACGAAGCCTAAATCTACTACAAAATGGAAGTTGTAACAAAACATTTGTTTGATTTTTTTAAATAGAAGATATTTATAATATCTATAATAGCTCCTATAATAGCTCTTAAAAAATATTTTTCTAGACAACAGCTTCAAAATCACATTTATAAATTTTGCAGTCTTTCCAAACGAACTTTTAGACTACAAAACCTAAAAAAAAGTAAAAATGCCTTCACATTTTTTAATCATGACCCATGTTTTCAACACCAAGGAATCTAAAATATACTAAACACATTTTATGTGGCAAGTTGGTTATAAAAAAGGTATGGCCTAAGATAGGAGGAATACTACCACTTTTTTATTATGTGCTTTATATAGATGGTATTTAAAAGGTGTTGATTAAATAGAAAAAAAATTAAACTTTTTCTTTTATCTTTAGTAACAATTTTTTTTTAATTGAGTGCATTTATTTAACTAAAAATATTTATTACAAAATGATAGCTATTTATTCATATTTTTACAACAAAAAAAAAACTCTAGTCACAATAAAAAATCAAATTAAAAAATAACTAAAATAAAAAAAATGTGGCTAAAATGTTACTTTCATATTTTTATGAATAACCTCAATAATTTTATTTTTTGCAACTACTACATTTATTTAACCAAAAATATTTATGACAAATGATAGCTATTTATTCATATATTTACCAAAAAAAACTCTAGTCACAAAAATAAATCAAATTAAAAAAAAGCGACTTAAATAAAAAAAATGTGGGTAAATTGTAACTTTCATATTTTTTAAGAGTAACCTCAATAAATTTTATTATTGCAAATAGTATCAAAAGAACTCAAGATTATAATTCAATTGTATATATGCAACTTATATTTGTCAGTTTTAGCTATCAATTAAGAGATCTTGAATTATATGATTTTGATTTTAATAGTCTCAAAAATCTTAAAAGAAAAAATAAAATTTATTTAGTACGGCTGGAATCAAATAAAGCCCACCTTTCCAAAAGGTGATACCAGTTGCTGGAGTGCTGTAATCCTGTCACCTAACTTCTCTTTCCTCACCTAAAAGAGCCAGAGCCATGAGCTTTTTGTTCATATATAAAATTCTATTCAACTAATACGAAGATTAAATTGATATATTTAACATTAATGCAATGATGTGATCATATGCAAATCGATCAAACCTTACCTTAAAAGCTGGTAATGGTGAAGGTGTTTCTATTCTAATCTTCTTTGCAATCGGGGGTGTTGGATCTCTTGAAGCTGCTGTGTTTGACTGAATCGATTCGCACAAGAATAAATTAAGAGTTTTTGAGTTATGATCCATGGCGGTAGTATTAAGTAAAGTATGAACAGCTAGATACCTTCGCTGACGTGCTCGAAAACAAAGAGCCGTTGGAAGGAAACTCGACCGTTGGAAGGATTTGAAGTTCAGCCATGGCGGATTCTGAAAGGGTCTGATTCGATTGAAAGGAGCCGTGACAGATCATATCTTTGGAAGAATCTTGCGACGTTTCTGTAAAATCCATCTGTATTATTTCACACTCTCTTGTTGCTGCGCTGTCCTCGAGCTGAACAGCTTGGAAATTAGTCTCAGAGCTTTCACTGCAACCTCAAATATTAGCACGAGCTTTTCTAAACACACAGGAAAATAGGGAGATGGTGTATATAACTTACAGGAAAGATTGGGACCAATCAACTGAAGAGGACAAGGGATCTAAACTTGAAGGTTGAGTGAAGTAATCAAAGGAGTTGGCTTTGCTGAGCTCAACTATCTCGTTGCTGGCTGGAAAAAACCCGAAGGTTTCTTCAATATCGCCGGCGTTCAAAGCCGTCGAGCAGGAGAAGATATCGCTGCATCTTAAGGAGCTCCAAAAGTTGAAGCTGGATACGCTTCCCTGGAATTCTTCAGCCATGGTTACTTAATTATGGCTCTCTGTATATATCCTTTTCGAGCTGGTTTATATAGTGAGGTTGATTTTTCTTCTCTGGAATTCCTTCGGGGGTTGAGAGGATTGCAATGGATAGACTTGGAGTCAATGCCTTGTCCTTTATATAGAGAATAAAAAAAAATTGATAGATTGACGAAAAGATCATCAAAATTGTTAGAATGATATATTTGCCACTTGGTTTCTTATTTATTTATTTGTTGTTAAAAGCGCAATTTAAAGATTATACAGTGTAATTTTTTTTTTGGTACATTTAGGTCAATTAAGGCAAACTTACACACACAAAGCATACACATAGACTCGAACCTTGGACCTCTTAGTTGGAAGACTAAGCTCTCAACCAATAGGCCAAGGAGAGTTGTGTACAGTGTAATTTTTTATTTGTTGTACAGAGAATGATGTGACATTTTATAAATTGTATTTATGTCCTTTCAAAATTGCACAAATATCTTTTATTGTAATATTTTAGGTGTATAACTTGGCTAAAACAGTAAAATTATTTGATATGTCATTAAAAATTTATCTTCAGCGGGCACGAATCTTAATGCAAAATCAAGTTGGAAACTTTCATAATTTGGGATCATCAGAACTTTGATTTCAGCAAACTTATAGTCGAACTGAGCGTCTCGAGAATACGAACCCAACGACACCAAATCCGAGCCCAAACGGGTCCAAATCAAAGGTTAGAAGCTCTGTTGGAAAGTTCGAACCACAATTTGGATTAACAAACGGTTTCCAAACAAAACATTCTTATAGTTGAATCAAGCGTCTCGATGAGACAAATCCAACGAGCCCAAGATCATTGAATTCTGACATCAATAAGACGTTCAAATGTCCATCAAATGGTCCATGATCAAGGGATTCAACATCAATCATCCATCCAACCACTCCCCATTTACCTTTGATCTCTCACCTACTTACGGGCCATGCCACTCCATAAATTTATAAATAGACACCTCATTTCTCTTGAAAAATGGACCGAAGCAAGAAGAGAAGAAGGAAGAAGCTCCTCCTCGACCACCGCCTGAGTTCCCCGAACCATCACTTTAGGCCATCACCTTCGCCGGACCACCACTTGAGGCCCTCGCCTTTGCCGGACCACCACTTGAGGCCCTCACCTTCGTCAGACCACCACCTGAGGCCGTCACCCTCACCGGACCACCGCCTAAGGTCCTCACCTTCGCTGGAACACCACCTAAGGGCCTGAACTTCGCCATACCAACACTTGAGGCTCTAAACTCTGTCAGACCATCAACTGACGCCATAATTCTGCCAAGTCACTATCGGACTACTAACTGACGCCCCAACTTCCAAGTGACGTAAGATTTAACACTAGACTTCAATCATACGGTTGATATTTGTAATCCGATCGTCCTCTGGGATTAGTCAGCCCGTTATACTCAACTCAAATTCGTTAGACCACCACCTAGTTTTTCCCTTTTCCAGGATTTCGTGCAATGCTAAGACGTAAAATTACAACTCTATCGCCGTGTATATTCTAGCCCGCAACACTACTTATTCATAAATCTTATAATTTGTAAATCTAAGGGGCTGTTTGGTATGAAATTTGCCATGAAATTTAAGTATGATTTAACATAAATCCAACCAAACGGTTTAGGAGGACAAGTAAATCCGATGGCTACATAAATTCTAGATTTATAGATTTATGATATAAATCCATGTAATTCCTAGTGAATCTAAACCCCATTCTTCGGCAGATTTAACGGGCTTTACACTCACGCGAGCTCTCCCGCAGCGCCTGTGTCGCATAATTCCTATGAAGTCACAATGTAGATGGAAGGCGTAGTTGCTTCACCCTCATATTTTTGAAAAATCAAAATAATTATGAAAACTATTTATTTAATTCAGTTTTAAAATATTTAATTTAATTTGAAAATAAATTATTAAATTAGTATTTATTTTAAAAATATTTATTTCTAAAACTATTTAACAATATCTATTAGATTAACTAATTAATATATTTAAATCGCTTAATTTACTATAACAATAATTATTAAAACTATTTAATTATTTTAGTTTAACAATAATTAATTTAATTTGACAATAAGTTATTAAATTACTTAATTTATTTTAACAAAATGAATAAGAATAAATATTTATTATAATTTAAAAATCCTCCAGAAATCCATCTGAAAAATTCTGTCATAAATCCGTCGAAATTTTTGACGGATTTATTTTCTCTTGATATTTCTCCAGAAATTAGCATTTTTTCTTAGTGAAAATTATTTAAGCGAGATAGGTTACATTATGTCTATCTCAATTTTTAATAATTAGATTTTTTTTAGATTTTCCTGACATTTTAATTAAAATTTAACTTAATTGGGTATATCTATTCACTGGGGAACATTTTACTGTGTAGCCCTTGATATGCCGCAGTTAGTGATCATAATCTACGCAATTTGATATTTTATTTATAAATTTTCACTAAGCAATTTTAAAAATACAATGTTATATATAACGATATGGAAAAAATATTCTAACACCTATAAATTATGAATAATGTGTGGTAATATGGTAAATCTCTGAAAAATGTTAAATTTTGATATGTGGCTTTTCTCCAATTTTCTAATTGTTTGATTATTAGTATAACATTATGTGAAATCCTATAATAACTTTGATAATATTTATTATAATTGAAAATGCATTTAGTTTTGCATTTTTATTATTGAAATATTTGAATTTGGATGAATTGTGATGATACGAGGAAATTCTGATGTGTTATTTGTTGGGAGTCATATAGGTCTGAAATATTTGAATATTTGTAATGTTATGCATTTGTGAGTCATAAAAGCATGTTATCTAATTTATTAGCTTAGTAAGTTATTAGGGCTTGAATTCAGATATCTCTTGAAAGGTATAAGAGCCCGAGGAAAATTTTGTTTGTTTTGAGATATAAAAACGAAGTGCTTACTGTTATGTTTAATTTTCATTTTGCATCTCTTCAATTCTGCTAGTTGATTGATCTATCAAAGATATTATTTACAGTACTGCTTGTTGCGTCCTGGAATATTCGCGGCGGTAGAGAAATATTTAGTTTAACGTCTTAGCATTGTACGAAGATCCAGTACACAAGCAGATAAGTGAGAGGGTGTAGCATTCATAAGAGACACCAGAGTTTTTACGTGGAAAACCCCTGAAAAGGGGAAAAACCACGGGGCCTGGCCCAGTTTGAATGAATCCACTAGTATTTGTAGTCGATTACAAATGAGGCCCTTCCTTAGGAGAAGGCCTTGGATTGATGTAGCAAATGTACATCATATAGATTGCATTACATGGTAAGAGTTACATATACAGATTTGTTTGGCCTGAAGGACCGTAGTCAGCCGGAGACCGTAATTGGCAGGAGACCGTAGTCGGCCGGAGACCGTAGTCGGCTGGAGACCGTAGTCGGCAGGAGACCGGGGTCAGAAAGACCGTTGTCTGTTGATGGAGGTCGGAAGGACCATAGTAGGCGACGAAGGCCTGAAGGACCGTAGGCAGTAGGAGACTGGGGTCTGAAAGACCATTGTCTGGTGATGGAGGTCGGATGGACCGTAGTAGGCGAGTATGTTGGGAATCATATGGGTCTAAAATATCTGTTATGCATTTGAGAGACATAAAAGCATGTTATCTAATTTATTAGCATAGTAAGTTATTATGGCTTGAATTCTGATATCTCTTGAAAGGTATAAGAGTCGGAGGAAAATTTTGTTTGTTTTGAGATATAAATATGAAGTGCTTACTATTATGTTTAATTTTCATTTTGCATCTCTTCCAATCTGCTAGTTGATTGATCTATCAAAGATATTATTTACAGCTCTCCTAATATTTTTTTTTATTCTGAAAAATCTAATTGAACTCTTTGTACTAATAAATTTACTCTGCATTAACATTTTTGCTCAAATTACAAGTGTTGAAATTTAAGTCTATAAAAGTATATATGCTAGATTTTTTTTACAGTTATGACTTTTCTATTTTATGTTGTTCGAGTTTATATTATATGTCAATAATTATTTTAATCGTAAATATTTTTTAGATGAAAAAAATCGCTTTTAATGATGACTATTCATTTGTTTTAAATTGAAGTTTTTGTGAGCGTAATTAGAATTCGAAGAATCCTAAAGTTTTGCTCATCGATCAATATTAATATTTATCATCACAATCTAAAAAAAAATTTCTTTGTTTTATTCTGAAAAATCTAATTGAACTTTTTGTACTAATGAATTTACTTTGCATTAACAGTTTTTCTCAGGTTACAAGTGTTGAGATTTAAGTCTATATAAGTATGCTAGATTTTTTTTACAGTTATGAATTTTCTATTTTATGTTGTTCGAGTTTATATTATATGTCAATAATTATTTTAATCGTAAATATTTTTTAGATGAAAAAAATCGCTTTTAATGATGACTATTCATTTGTTTTAAATTGAAGTTTTTGTGAGCGTAATTAGAATTCGAAGAATCCTAAAGTTTTGCTCATCGATCAATATTAATATTTATCATCACAATCTAAAAAAAAATTTCTTTGTTCGTATATTTGATTTTGATACAAAAATAATACATAAAATTTTTATATTACCTCTAAAATCATAAATCTATAATATTTAGTGTTGAAGAAAAAACAAACAATTAAAAATATACTCACATAAACCGACACAAAATGAAAAATAATATTATTCTGAGTTTTATATGAATTATAATTGATAATAATAATAATAATTTAAGTACTCAATTGAATGTTCAACTCAACAAGATAATTTCATAAATATATTTTTCACGTATTTGCAAACATATTTTATTAGCCTCTTTATTCCTCTATTTCACAAGACTTGGGTTCGAATTTCTTACACGGGCGGGCAGACCGGTCGACGAGGATGACGTCATGCTTAGGACTAGATTGTCGTAAGTCAACATGGGACCCACGCGCTAGCACGCCTTGTCACAAAGTCAAAACACTCAATGTCTGCAAGAAAACTATTAATAAGAGTAAATTTAACATAAATTTATAAAAATTTTAATTATATATGAATTTAAAATAATGAAAACTTTGGCTTTTTTTTTAAGAACGTTTTTACTATTTTATGCCTTTGGAGATAGATTTCTTATTGTTTTCTATAATAAATTTTTTGTAATTTTTTTTTAAATTATTTTAAAAAATAGTAAGAAAGCTGTTATAAATAAAATCATAATTTTTGTTTGACTATTATTTTTTTAATTATTTTCAATAATATTTTGAGCAATAAATTTTTTTTAATTGTAATTTTAAGCTTCATTTGAAACAATTTTTTTATTATTTTTTAAGTTAGATTTTTAGTATAGAATTTTTTGTATAAAAAAATATTTTAAAAAACAGTGAGAAAATTGCCCCAAATAAAACAGTAAAAGAAATTGTTTTCAATATAATAACTTTATATTTAACTTTATAAAAAATTATAATTATCTCAAACAACTTATTAAATTTTAAAGATTATTTAATAAAATTAAATTGACTTTTTTTTTAATAGATACAGAGTCTTCGGTTATCAAGGCCGTGTTGACCTGTCTTGTTTTCAACTGAGATTCTATGCGGCGACCCCTCAACCCTCCGCTCTTCTTTTCTCTGCATCTACCCACCTTCCTTTGTTTTCAACTCCCACCAAAATATTCTGTCAAATTACCATTCGATGGCTCTTTGAAAATTCCCCATATCTCTCTATCTTTTTGTCTTCTAATTCACATGCGTGATAATCATCCTAATTAAGACATCTATGAGCGGATCGACGACTTGCTTGCTTGTAGGGAGAAATTATTCTGTGCGGAGTCAGGACCGAAAAAATATGGACAAAAAAAATCGTTCAGACATATGAATGTACATATTGTGTATATATTTATCAAATCATTGAACACACTATTTATATAAAATGTGTGTACTCACAGTCCGAACAATTTTTCCTGTCCGAACAATTTTTCCTGTCCAGACTTCAAAAGAATAATTTCTCCACTGGTTGAAGCAGATAAATCTCCTCAATATGATCTGCACTCGATTCACCTAATAAATTTTTTGTTATATTTTTCTTTAGTTAATTTGTCCCCCTCCATCAATTTTTTAGCCCCCTCCCCCCAATCTTTAGGCAATTGCCCCTAACAAATAGTAAATAGAATTCATCATCTTGTTTATTCATTTGAATTCCAAAAATATCCTAACAACCAAAATTTGTTACTGGGGTACTGCATCCAAAAATTCCTGCAAGGGTGCTGCCTCTTGACACCCCCGACCTGACCGGGCAGGTCGAACCCTGCTAGAGGGTGCTTCCCTCTTGGACCCCCGAAATATCTACGAAACGTTCGTCTATATTATTCTTTAGTTAATTTGCCCAGCTCCATATATTTTTTATTCTTTATTACAATATTTTTTAGGCAATTGCCCATAGTACATATTAAATAGAATTCATCATTTTATTTATTCATTTGAATTCCAAAAATATCCTAACAACAAAAATTTATTCCGGGGGCGCTACATCCGAAAATTCCTACAAGGGCGCTGCCCCTTGACCCCCGACTTGACCGGGCAGGTCGAAACATGTCATTGGGTGCTGCCATCCTGGACACCCCATATATCCACGAAGCGTAGGTCGATCAAGAATATGAACAAATATGGGTCGCTAATGAGCCATTTTCTTTTGTAGTGAAGGGTTGAGCCAAATTCTAGGCAAAACCAACAATTACTTATAAGTTTACGCCCCCGAAAAATTAAGGATGATTCCGCCCCTATGTGATTTCTAAAAAAACTCCTTTCATTATGAGGAGATCATCTACTCATAATTAAAGTTTAAGGTTTTGTTTGGAATAGACTTTTAATTGTTTTTGTGATAACAAAAGTTATTAGTAAAGCCTTTTCACTCTTTTTTTTTTCTTTTAGTTTTGCCTCTTAAAAGCTGTTTTTGAAGCCACTGTTTTGAAGATATGGATGAAAAAAGAACTTTAAAAAGCAAAAAAAAATAAAAATTGTTATATTTGAGACGAGCAAGGTTGAAACCAGCTCAATTTTGAGGAGGGGGTGTGGGAATTTAGTACAAAATTAATCAAATATTAAAATATAATATATAATATTATGAAAAATTGTTTAAAAAAAGGTAAGCAAGAAAAATGAAAAAAAATTGGTGTAATTAAATTATAATGAAAACTATGAAAGAAAATATTAGAACTTAATGTAAAGAAATACATAGATAGCTTGGTATGCATTTCTGAACTAAAGTTGTTGTACATAAAAAAAAGTCTTCATTGCTACCCATTTTCACAATACTTTAAAAAAAGTCTTCATTGAGGGGAATTGCGCCGAGTTACAAGGTGTTCTGCCCATGGAGACGGCTATAACTTTTTGCAAGATAGTTGTTAAGCTAATGAGAGAAAATTAAAATTTTTAAAAGTTGTTGTAAAAAACAATTTCCTTGAACAACATTTTTTAAAATGTATAAAAAATAATAGCCACGTAGAAATCATGGTTGATGTATGAGAACCGAAATAATAAAAAAGATGTACCGATTAGATAAAAGTGTCATAAATAAAGCCTACGAATCTATTTGGGATGATTGCAATATTTTATAAAAGTTACTTATGAAGTATTTTGGAAACATTAATTTAACTACTATGGTTGCAAAATGCAGATTTGCGCTACAGAAATTTCTGAAAAATAAATGCGAAAATACTAACCAAATAAAATTGTGATTGTTATCTAAAAAAACATTGAGAAAATTATCTAAAAGAGACCCTAAGCCATAAACTTTTCTCAACTCTACTTAACGTTTGGTTTGGGACAACTTTCTTATTATTTTTTAAAGCGATATTTTAGTAAAAAATCTTTTGACCGATAAATTTGTACATTAAAAAATCTCTTTAAAAAATAGTAAAAAAGTTATCTCAAATGAAAGCTAAAATATAACAAGTCAAAAGTAACGAGGCCGGCAATCATAAGAATTATTTATTGCATTAAGCTTCAAATATATTTAATCATTTAAAAAAAATTATTATTGTATTTTAATTTAGAAAACCACTTCACTTAAAAAAAATTCTCACCACTGCTCCAACAGAATAGGAGAAAATAATTATTAAAAAATTATGAGGCCTAAAGATGCACAGAGAGACAACGAGAGAATAGACCGTTGGTATTTTAATCTAAAAACTCATTAGGACTTATCACTTGTGCTCTAATACAAAAACTATCAGAGGGGTTACAGCTGCTTTACAAAATCCAAGAACAAAAGTACTAACCAAGTATGGAAGATTAGTTAATCCTAATCCTGATAGAGCAGCTTATGATTTCATCAGCTAAATAAACTATCTAATCCATAACGACCATAAAGAATGTTTCAATTCCTTCAACTTGCATGCATTGGAAACATTCATTGTATTAGCCAGAAGATGTCAACTAATTATGATTAAGAAAAGCTGATTAGTTGATATTTCTAATGTTAATTGTGATTAACAAAGTTTATTAGTTGATAATTTTTTGGTTAATTATGCTTGTGTTATGACCCACTAGTAGTGGTTGTTGAGGATAATCAGGCTTTTGGATAAATTAATGCTGACGAAATAGGGTTGGACTTTGGTCTTATAAATGCCAAATCTCACCTAATCAATTGCACTAACTATGATAAGTTGAGAGACTTTTGTATAGTTGAACTAAGCAAATAAGTCCAAGAGGGATTTGACTTCTATCGTAAGCTAAACTGAACTTTAGTTTTGTTAGGGAACGATGAATCGATCGAACACAAATAAAAATAACAAATCATAATTTACAAAAACACAAATGAACACACGAGATTTATGTGGAAAACTCAAATCCGAGAAAAACCATGAGGAAGAAAGAGAATGGATTCAATATACAGAAGAGGCAAAACATGCAGTACAGACGGCTTACAAAATATAAGCCCTTTACAAAATATTTTGAGGGCACTGAAAAACAAGCGGAATTCCAAATGCCCTTACAAAATATTTTGAGGGCACCTTGGATCTCTGACATATCTACGAAGCATACGACGTTCAAGGACACGAATAAACAAGGGTCGAGCCAAATTCGAGGCAACTCCAACAAGTTTGCTATTATTCAATTTTAAAAATGTGAGTGTGTGTATATATATATTGCAAGAAAATTTAAGTGTCATGGGGCATGTTTGGAATAGTTGTAGGCTAACTAATGACTTGTAATTAATTAACATTTTTGTCTCTGTAATCATAATTAGTTAACAAAGACGGCATCGTTTTAAATACTTAAATAATTAATATTTAGGAAACTATTATTATTGCTTTTGTTATTCGATTTAGTGCCTTTACTTATTTATGAAAAAGCTTATAATTAATTGAATAAACTTATTTTATTTTATCTAATAAATAATGCATTAATGTTAAAACTACAATTTTATTATTTTAAATAAATAATGGCTTAATATTTAATCTATCTAAATATAAGATAAATTTTATATGAATAAAATATTTTCACAAAAACTAATAATGAATTATTGAATTGAATGAAATTTATTGTTTCTTAAAAGATTATTAAAGATTTCATTTGGGACGACTTTTTCACTGCTTCATGAAATAACTTTTTCATAAAAAAATTTAATTTTTTACTAAAAATTGTCTTAAAAAGTAGTAAAAAAGCTGTCCCAATCAATGCCTAAGTTATATATTTTATAATTTATGACTCATCATTTAATGAATTATTGATTTGAATATTATTATATCAATTTCTTTCAAATACTTCAAATGTCAAAATTCTTGTATTTATATAAATCAATAACTTTAGATTATAAAATTCAAACTAATAATATGAGAAAACTTACTGATTAAATTGAATATTTTTATTAAATAGTACTCAAAATTCTGGCATTTATATAAATTTTAAAATAGATTTATTTCAATTAATATTAAAATTGTTTAATAAAAATTACAAATGAAATTCATAAATTTTAGAAAATGTAATTAAAATTAGGAAAGTAACCGAAAAAAAAACAGATTTTTCCTTCACTTCGCTCTGAAGTATCTTTGCAGTTCGCACCATCGCGCCGCTTGAAAAACTCCATTTTTCTTCTGACTCTTCTCTCTTCTCCCACTTTGCCTGCCCAATGGGTAAGACCTATTTTGCCATTACTTTTCAGATCTTGCTAGCGTTTGCCCTCTTACTATCCACCGACGGCGACGATGGCGGATCAGTCCAAGATCTACTCCGCGCCTACGGCCTCCCGCCGGGGCTTCTTCCCTCTGCGGTGAATTCCTACGACCTGGATAGGGAAACAGGACTCCTGGAAGTTCATCTAGACAGTCCCTGCTTCGCGAAGTACGACGGATTGGTGTTTTTTAATCAGACAGTGAGGGGAAATCTGAGTCACGGTAGCTTGAAAGGACTGGTGGGGTTTTCACAGGAGGAGCTATTCATTTGGTTGCCCGTGAAAGAGGTTTTGTTGGCTGATCCTTCTTCAGGTGTTATCTTTTTTGATATCGGTGTTGCTCATAAGCAATTATCGCTCTCGCTTTTCGAGAATCCGCCTGATTGCACCGCAGGAGGGGAATATCAACGACAATTGGCTGTCCAGATGATCAGAGGAGGTCAGTATACTGAAAAGGATGAATTTTGGGTATATTTTTTTTGTTAAATTTTGTGGAAAAAATCGACTTGTACAACGTATTAGGTTTAGATGTTTAATGTCGGGATGTCTTAAAATTTTTTATTATTTTTTGAATCTAATGTCTGTTACCTTGGAGTCTGAATTTTAATTGATTACCACCGGTCATGCGTTAAATTAAGAAAACAAGAAAAACGATCAGAGTTCGTTCGATAGGGGATTCCAGTTAAAATGATGATTTAAGGGTTTATACTTTTCTTATTAGTGTTTGCAGGAAAAATTGGAGTTTGCTAAGGTTTTTGGTGCCGTTGTTAAATAGTTTCCCTCTGACTGTTTGTGTTTCTAAATTTCAACTTGTTGTTGAAGATTGGGTTGTTGAAGTGCTGTGATTGCTAGGCAAGATGCAGATTGCAGTAATGAACATAGTATTGTACAAGCAGAGGGGAAGAGTAGAGGAAAATGACTAACACTAGATCACTATAGAGGTGAGTTATTGAAAAAAAAAATTTGAAGCAAAAAATGTATCTTCATTTGACCATTATTGATCTTCAAAGGGCACATGGTTGTAAGATGAAAATATGTATTTTAAATTTATGTTGAAGCTATCAAAGTTAGGTATGATGTAGTGATGACTAGCATAAATAATTGTGGAGTAACAAAATTATTTTTCTTGTGAAATGGTGTCAAACTCAGGTTAGATATTTGGTTTAGTTTAGGAGAAATATTTTGTTCTATGATGCACAAATACGGACACGGCGACACGGATACAACACGACATTGACACATGACACGTCAATTATTGAAAATATAGGACATGCACATGAGTTGGACAAGGTATTATAATTTTTATATTTAAAAATAATGTATACAAATCAAATAAGTATAAATTTAAAAATAATTTAGAAATAATAAGTCATTTAATTAGAATTTATACTAATAATTAATATTAAGATGTCAAGAGTCGGACATTGATTTCGTTTATCAGTCATCGAGAGAGGAGATGATAATGCTGTCAAAAGTCGGGTATTGATGTTATACAGTAAATATTGGACGCAAATGTTAAGATGACGTTTATCATTAATGTTGAGAGGGTGTTGGTTGTCGATGTTGAGAAGGCGTTGGACAAAGATGAGATGTCAAGTTGTGGGAGTAGAAATTGATAGTATCGAAAATAAATGTAAAGACGGCGTCAGAATTTGATATGAGATCGTTTTGAAATGTTGATGTTGTAATGATGTCAGACATCAATTTTAAGATGACATCGGACATTGCTATAAAACCAAAATTATAACCCGCCAATGAGAAATGAAAATGAGAATATTCTATGAATGGGATATTAAACGCGTGCGATTGATTTGGTATTGTGGATAGGAAATAAGAAATTTAATTTTTATATTTTAAATAATAAAAAATTTAAATGCAACAAATTATATTTAAAAAATTCATAAAATATTTAATATACGCGTGTCCTAATTATATTTAATATTTTTTTAATTGGACACGTTTTCAGAGTGTCCGACACGACGCGTCATGTCGGATACGTGTCGGACACTGCACGTCTCTTTGAGGAGAAGTGTCGGTGCATCATAGATTTTGTTCCACCATTATTTGTTAAATTTTCCTGCTATTTGAAATAGACAATCCCTTTATATCTTGCTCCTTGTATGTGATATTCAAAGTTTTCAGGGTATTTAAAAGACTCAGATAAAGATGGGTAAGATTCAAGTAGGTTTGGAAAATGTACAAGTTAACATAAAATAGGATTAAAGTCAATGGCAAACTCATATTCATAGAATGACTTGATGTTCCATGCAGATTTAATAATTTTAAGTATTGCGAGAATAATATTTGTATCATTGTTGGTGATGCAAATAGCCAATAAAAATGCATTTTAAGGCTTTGATGTTTAGTTCGCTTCTATGATAAGGAGGAATATGCGTAAAGACAGAACAATCAAACACTTTGAGAGGAATTGTGTAGATGAGTTTAGTTTTGGATGGGCTTGGGTGACAGTTTGACAAGGAGTTGTACATTTTAGAATCCTTAATGGGATTTGATTAATGAGATGCCACAGTAAGGACAACATCTCCTAATAATATTTTATGAAATTGCTAGTGATCATAATTTATTGAGCAACCTCTTTGAGGTATCTATTTTTCTTTTTGTTACCCTATGTTATTAAGGAGTATGGATACAACAACTTTGATGAAGAATCCTTGTTGAAGGAAATAGTGTCAAAAAATAGAATGAAAATATTATCTCCCATGACTTGAATATTTATTTTGAATTGGTTTTGTATAATTGAATGAATTTTTTGAAAAATAGACCAAGTTTTAGATTTGTTTTTCATTAGAATAATTCAAGTGGTTATAGGTGGTCATCAACAAAGGATATAAATCATATGATGCCCGAGATGTTATTTATCCATGATGGTCCCTAAATGCCACTATAGATGACAAAAAAAAAATATTTTGAGGTTTTATAAGGATGATTATGGTAGGAATTTCAAGTGTGTCTAGATAATTGACATTTTCATATTGGAATGCTTCAAGACTTGTATGGACAAAAAGAGATGCGAACAATCTTTTTATTAAAGAAAATTCTAGTGACTAAAGCAAAAATGCAATTGCATTATTAAACTTTTGTTAGAGGAAGATTCATGTTGAGCTTGTTTCTCTTATCTTCTAGGATTCTCTTCAATTTAGGCTAGCAATCCTTCACATTGCCAATTATTTTTCTAGAGATTGTATCTTAGAATTTACAATGAGTAGGATGAAATTTAGTAGTACAATTTATATTTTTAATGATATTACTAATTAGTTATAAATTGCATGAAAGTTAAAGAATCAAGAGAAGTGAGTTAAGAATGAGTGAGCTAGTTATGTTGATAGTCCCAATGCTAGTTATTTATGATTTTGACCCATAAGCAATTCTCATAGTAAGATTTTCTTAAATACATGTCAAGACTTTGAAATAAGGGGATTTCTTATCATATGCTTAAGGCGTAAGATTTTACTATTCAAGATTGTGGGTTTACATTTTGGACACTAAAGATATTCTTGAAAGTTTCATGTTGCATTAATTAAAAAGCTAAAAAGAGTACAATGAGGTACAAGCTAGTATGGAAACGCCTATATATGCCTTGTTATGTGTGGAATCTGCTTGTGTTGATTAATTGGATTGTGCTGTTGCCTTGGACCTCAAGTTTCTCGTGCTCGCTGGGGTGCGTTGCTTGGGTTTGGGTGTAAAGTCCCGGCGTTGTGTACCCGAGCGCGCTGTATTCCCAAGTGCCCCAGCGTTGAATGACAAAGAGCAGAGCGCCGCAGCTGTATAGATATGGCTCTGCAGTGGATCATGATAGAGGTTTGAGCGTCGCAGGGCCTCAAACTTGCGCCGCAGCACTACTAGATTTTTTGGACGATTTTTTTCTCGTTTTTTTAGGGTTGCATCCCTTGGGGTTATTTACTTGATTTTCTTTTGTATTTTGAGAGTTAGACATTGGAGAACGGTGTTTGAAAGAAGAGAAGCAAGGAGAGAGTGAGAGGGAAGAAAGATCTGTACTTATTTCTCCCAATGTTCATAGTGGATTTCTTAGTTTGGTGTAGCTCCGTAGTTTTTGCCCTAATTTGATTTTTTCCATGTTAAATCCTGGTGTCATTTACTTTTCGATGCTTTTACTTTCTTGCTTGTTTTGTCATTGTGGTGTTTTACTCCTCATCTCCCCAACACTTCCCTGAACAAAGAACATGCAAAAGAGGGAGGAACTTTGCCATTTTTGTTTATCCATGCAATAGTACAACAAAAAGTATAAAGACCAAAAAAAAAACTAGGAGCGCCTTTGCTGATAATGTGGGGTCCCTTATGTTATTGTATATAGTACCATCAAAACAAACTAGAAACCACTGTAGAGGGGGGATACCAAAGAGAGGGTTGAAACAACTGCAAGGGCTGGTTAGTATCCCAATGCTCTGGTAGAGGCCTAGTTCGATTGTGACACCAACTACAATCCACATAAGAAGATCTCAACATTGATCACCTAAGGGGGATCAAGTCCTTTCCAATGATGTCTTTAGGTGTTTTTTTCCTCTTCTTGGGCATAGTTGCAATTGGCCTCAAGTATGATAAATCTTTATCGAAGTGAGCATTGAAAATCCCGCTTATTTGCTTCTTGAGATTAAGTATTCTGTTGGAAGAATCCTCCATTTGTTTAATTTGTTCAGCAGAGAAAATAAACTCCTATTTTTTGTCTTCATTGCTCCCAGATTGCTTGCCCTTCCTCCCATTTTCCCCCGGGGTAGCTGCTATGTTGTCGGTTAGAGGCACTTTCATTGCCAGCTTTCTATTTTTGTTTTCTCCTCCTTGAGACAATAATCCATGTGCCATCACACCATTCGTCTCCTGATTGTCGTCGTTGAACTTTCACCGCCCGATTGCTACCATCGGATATTCATCGCTTGATCGCCGTTGTTGAGCCTTTCACCATCCGACCGTCATTGTCGAACCTTCGCCACTTGATCGTTGTCATTGACCTTTGCGGTTGTACATATGTCGTCGGACCTTTCACCACCGCTTCCATCGGACCTTTCATTGCTTGACTACAGTTGTTGATTCATCGTTGTCATCCAGCGAACACCATTGAACCAATTGTCGCTCAGCCCCTAAACGTACGAACGAACTTTGCCACTTTTTTTTTCAATTCTCCAAACTCTAATAATTTTTTTGTCTCCAAGTTTAAGGGACTAGCCAATTTTTATGACTAATATACATAGTGGAATAGGTGGGCAAGGCCTCATAGTTTTCCTCTTTTTTAGATTTTCCATGTAAAAATTCTGCTAAAACTCTTTCATTTATCATTATGTGCCGGATCTTCGTGCAAAAAACTCTCTTCCACCTCGAATTTCTTAGGCCGCAACAAAAATGTAGAGGAATTATGATGCAAAACTACAAATCCAAGTGGAAGTGACTTTTGTACTATATTGAAAAATATTGTAGAAAAATAGTTTTTCTTATTTTAGTTTCAATGCATCATTATAAATGGAATGCAATGAGATTCTAAACATGAAGCCATGGTAATCAATTAAGAATGGAATTGCTCCTTATCAGTCAGAACGAATATGGAAGAAAAATAAAAACATAATATTTAATACCTTTAATACATAATAGAAAGAAATGACTACCAATTAACACTTTCCTTTATATGGAAACACAGTATACATATCAATTGTTCTGTGATTCTCAACTATGCACAAAAAAATAAGGAAATACAATAGGTTGGGTTAACTAGGAAGCCAATATCCAGGAAGGTAACGAACAACTGGCTGTGAAAGTTAAGAAACTCGATTCCAAAGGGGATTTATGGAACTCTATATATCAGTAAGTAGTCAAGGTAATTAATTATTTATGAGGTAGGCTAGCAAAACATGTACTACCAGACAATATTGGGAGCATATCTAGAAAATTGTGAGCAATCAATGATCCTTCTCGGATTTTCACATAACACTAACTATATATTATGAGTTTTTTGGTGGCATTAGTTATATTTTATCTCAACATATATCTCTTCCAAACGTTCTTGAATCCATCCATGTATATATCATTCTTTCAAATACCCTGAAAATTTTGAAGATCACATGTAACTTGCTAAGTACAAAAGGATCACATATAACTTTGAATGCATGTGGATGTGGTTCTAGATGGTTATGCATATGCTTCAATATTGCATGTGTTTCCATGATTTGGATTGTTACATGTTGCATGGTACATGATGTGCTACATGTGTCATATGAAGTGTATGTTATTTATGTAGGAACACACATGCATGATTATTCATATTCCATGTTGGTATACAGGATAACCTACATATTGTTTCACATAGCTCTCCATGTCTATGTTTATCATATCCTTTCCATGTAACTTACGAAATCATTCTATAATGCTACTCATGGCTTCCATGATCATAAGAGTATTATTGAGTTCCTACATGGTGGTTTGCATGATGTTAGCATGATAAATGGCATGGTGATTTACATTGCAGGGAGTGTGTGTGTGTGAAATGAATGAACGTGATGTGCATGGATGTTATGTCATATAAATGACGTTATGTATGGAAGCTCATATTATATGTTCTTAAGTTCATTTGGTGCATGCTATTGCATGTCATCTAGTATATGTTGTGTATGCTTATGCACTGCATACTGTGAATGTGATACGAAGTGGAAGGGAAAACAATAAGTAAAAGAGAAGAAAAACCTAGGAACACAAAGATATGTCTGATTTTTTTATTTCCTCTTTAATAATAAAGTAAAGTACAATTGATCTACTATTTGAGAGGTAGATCAAATCTCCCATAAACCCTAGATGCTGCTAGAAACTCACAACAAACACTAAGAAATAAAACTCAGCCATCAGCCCCCTAAACCCTAGACAAATTCCCCCTTAAATAGCCCTAAAACATCATAACACAAATAGAACATTCCTAATCAGCATAAACATATTTTAGGAAACCATCCTAAAAAAATTAGGATCTTTCTAAATAATATAAACATGATTTAGGAAACCTTGCTAATTAAAACCTACTTAATTAAATCCTTCCTAACACACAATAATCATATTTAGAACATTCCTTATTCCCTCCCAATCAAAACAGCTCTCTTTTCCTAATTAAATATTCTTAATCCCCTCCCGATCTTGGTCTTCTACGGTAAGTGATTACTCCTCTTTGATCTTTTTGGTCAACTAAGCACTGAAGTTTACTATATTAATTGTTAGTTATGCCCAGCATTCTACTATGTTGCATACTGTGAATGCTATTGTTTTGAATGATGCGAGTCATATTGTTCGGTTATGTTGTGGATGCTCTAAACTATGACTAAGTTTTATATTTGAGGTACAGCTCATGGACTTAATATCCGGATTGTGATGAAATTATAAAAATTATTCTCTTGGATGATGTTGATGTATGATTTCCTCATTTGTATTGATATAAATAATTTTGTAAGGTGTACACTGAGTCAGATTTTACATGTGAAATTTCTTGGATTTTAAACTCAGTAATTTTTAAATTTCTACTAATTCTAAAACTTTTATATTATAATAGAACTTTGTTAAATTATTCTAACATTTCTCTTCAAAAAAATGTTTCACTTACTATGACAACTACAAGCATACTACAAATAAGCATTCAACTTCAATATCTTTTGTAAATTAATATTTGTCACAATTATCATCATTCTTAGCCTTATCACAACAATTTGATATTGTTTTGTAAATTCTCATATTACATTTATTTCTCATGAGTGATGTTTGAGGTGTTACATCTTTTCTTTTCAAATAATTTTGAGCTACTTCTATAAGTTCTTAGTGTTAATTCTCATTTTTATTAATAATCCATTGTCTCTATTTTTATCCATCAATCTAATATATATATTTTCTACCATCCAATATATATTTTCTATCATCCATTGTTCATGCCCAAAATAAATAAGTCTATTTAATCACATTATTTTAAATAGATGCCATTTCTGCTGAAGGCTATTACTTCTCTTCTTTATAGCTTCGTATTTTATACGATTATCTGAGTGTCATTCTGGATTAGTTGAACTGATTATTTGCATCTATGGTTTATATCTTTTAATTGTTAATTATGAAGCATAATTTATCTTCTTCAATCTTCACCAACATTCAGCAAGTCTCTATTACCAGTTCCTCACGACCATCTTCCTCCAGCTACCACTGTCCTTAATGGTTATTATTACTTGAACTAACTATGATGATTTTGGTGATTTTTTCTAGGGCCTGGAGAAGCTATTGGATCTCAGGAGCAAAAATGAAGTATGAAAAGACTTCAACCATCCTTTCTTTCCCAGAATTCGTCTCTTAAATACTGGTATTCCCTTCCCACACTCCTGAAAACCACTTGTAAAGGGAGTTCTTATATGTGTATATACATAGCGTTGATACTAGTTTGGGTCATTTTCTACTCTGTACATTGCGCATGTATATGACATTTCATCATATTTCAGCAATATATATTACTGTATATATGAGAATATCTTAAGCAGCCAAAATTGTTGTGAAATCCCTTTAAGTAAAAAGAAAGCTAATTCTTAAACATCAAGATGCCTTTTGGTGTAATGGATGGAAATTTCGTAAGAAATTCCGCAGTCAAGCATGCTAATCCTGGGATTGATGGCCTACTGGGAAGTTACATCAACAGGACAAAAATTGTGAGGCTCTTAGGCCAAAGCGGACAATATCTCGATAGTTAAGAATTTGAACTGTTATAATTGTAGCTAGCTGTTCTGCACTAATAATTGTTGACGGAGATTTTATTTTGGTGGGTCGAAATCTAATAATGCCATTTGCAAATATGTAAATGGCTCTAATGCAATGAGACGTTTGATCAGGTCCTATTGACCAAAATAATATTAGCTCTTCAATACAAAGGATTAATCTTGACTCTTCATCATCTTCTTATCAACTGGGAAAAAGATTTAACATAAAATGTTGTTATCTTTTTACAATTCAGGCTGGGCCCAGGAGCCATCAAGCCTTTGATTTTAAAACTCTTAGGCTGTGTAGCCTATAGGGTATGATCGAAAGATTCAAATTTCAACCGATCGAGCAACTTATAAATAAAGCAGTAAATCCCGTCCCAATTGAGGGCATTTGGATGGATGTGAGTCACATTTCAATTAAACTAGAGCTTTTAAGGAATGTGATCCCCAATCTTAAGTCTGTGTTTTGACCAACTCTCATATTAGCTAACTAAGGTTTTGTTTGGGATGATTTTCTTACTGCTTCTTAACGCAGCTTTTTAGTGCAAAAATTTTAATTTTTTAACTACAAAATAATTTTAAGAAGCAGTAAGAAAGCCGTCACAAACGAAACTTAATCCCAACAATATATCAACAAAATAAAATTTGCCTGAGAGGAGATAGCTCATGCCTTCATGAATGTTATAGGTTATGATCATGTAATATTGGTGTTAGAATTCCTGAGATGACGGAACTATAGGATTTTGATTGGATTTACCTACATATCCTCCATTAATTAGAGTAGAAATTGAATATCAAGCTTAAGCTTAAAATTGGGTATAAATACATATCCTTTGTAAATAGTGCTCTCTAGTAAATGGGAGGAATAATTATTTATGAGGGTTTATAATCATAGGCTTGAAAAATTGTGTGTTCTAAGAAGCTACTTTCTACAACAACTTTAAAAAAATTTACTTTGACTGTAGCAATTTTATAACCAAATTTACAAAAATTATAACGACTATTAATCAGATCCCAACAATTCTAAAAAATCAAGACAGAAAAACTATCAGATTCATAAATACCAAGCAAATCTCTTTCATAAAAGAGCAGCGGTTCAAAAAAACACTATATATCTTCATCATAAATAATATCAGGGATCCATTTATGATGTTTAATCAAAAAGCAATATTTATAAGTACATACAAATTTAAAATATTCAACAACATAATTCATAATAGAAGCATCATTCTCTGTTAAATTATCATTAATGAATACAATCAGAAGTTTTTCTTTTCTTAACTAAGATTTCATTTCAGATGATTTTTTTTACTACTTCTTAAAATAACTTTTTCTTTAAAAAATTAAAATTTTTATATTAAAAAGTTGTTTTAAGAAATAATAAAAAAAGTCATCCCAAAAGAAGTCTAAGGCTTCGTTTTGGGACGGCATTCTTACTGCTTCTTAAAGCAGTTTTTTAATATAAAGATTTTAATTTTTGTTATTTTTTTACTAGAAAGCTGCTTTAAAAAATAGTGAGAACGACGTCCCAAAAGATGCTTAAATTATAAACATATTTAATATTTTAATCACCTTCAACCAACATTTTAGAACCAGAAGTTTTAGCTTCATTAATTAAGAATAGAAGAATTAAAAGCACAATTTTTTTCTACATACAAAATCTTGCTAAAAAATATTCCCCAAACCATATTTATTTCACCACCTAAGAATTTATCAAGCCACATAAAAATTATTCCACAAAAATGATTGTAAGAACTAATGAATTATAAAATATTTTCATCAACAGAAACTTTAGTAAAGTTAACATTTTTCTAATATTTTAGAAAACATATGGACTTCAACAACCACATTCCTTGTAATTCCAATTGAAGAATTCTGAATTATCTGCAATAACATCACATAGTCAAAGGAAGAATATAAAACACCATCATCTAGAAGGACATAGCAAGCAAGAAACTTGAAAATCTCAAAAGGGGTAAGTGAGAGTACAATATAGAAATGAGTAAAAATGATTTTTTTTTTCCAAGATATATTAGTTAATATGTGATTGCAAAACTATTGCATAAGCTTTTCTTTTTTCATGAGTGAGGAATAATTTGTATTGGTTACCTCTTTGTGCGGCTCAACCTGTAATATTTGTTGTCAAATATAGGTATTTTTTGCAACTTTTTAGTTGATTGGTATCTATGAGTTTTAGAATGCTGAATGAGGTAGAAAGTAATTGAGATTTGTATTAAAAATGTGAAAATCCAAGTTTAGATTTTTATTCTATGGGCACCGTGATGTCAGGGAATACGTCAAGCTCTCTATTTGTTTAGGAAAAAATAGTCGAACGCTACGGTGTTGGCCATAGTGTGAGCATATTCACAGAGAATATAGAAAATTCTATGGAGCGTTGTGGCACGGGGAAAGTTGGCTATCGGGGTGCTAGGTTAAAATAGTGGAAAATTAAATATTAAAATATCTACGCACTTGCTCATTTCACTACCACCTCAGGCTTAGTGGAGAAGAGAGGAGTAAGCAAAAGAAGAAAGAAAGAGAGAAAGAAGGAATTTGGAGGCCATGATTCGAGCTTCTTTTGTTTGGGTAGTTTAGGAAATTATTGAGCTCGAGGTGGAGTCCGAAACTCGTCTCTGATTTCAATTCTAATAAATTTATAAAAAAAATAAATAATTTTTTTTTGGATTTTACAAAGTTTTAATCATGTGATTTTTAATATGTTATCACTCTATATTATGACCATTTTGCTTACCAGAAATTAAGTTTTCAATGGTTGATTTTCTCGTATAAATTTTTGAGTATATTGTTGAATTAAAGCTTTTTTGGTAATTGAAGACTTGCGATAACTATGTAAGCCTTGAAATATTTATATGAATGTTTCTTTGAAAGTAGAAAATTGAAAAAGGGAAAGTCCAGTGAGTGTTATATTCTACAGAAAAAGTGACTTTTATTGGTGATACGTCATGCAAAAATTATCTTGATCAGGCACGAATCTCGAGGCAAAAATCAAGTAGGAAACTTCAAAAATTAAATCTGGGAGCACATGAACTCCGATTTCAGCAAACTTACAGTCAAACTGAGTGTCTCGGAAATACGAACCCAACGACACCAAATTCGACCCAATCCGAGCCCAAATGGGTCCGAATCAAGGACCCGAAGCGCTGTTGGAAGGTTCAAACCACAATTTGAGTTACCAAACGGTCTCCAATTTTAACGAGCTTAGACTCGAATCGAGTGGCTCAACGAGACAAATCCAACGAGCCTAAGATCGCCGAATTCCGACATCATTAAGTCCTCTAAATGTCCAACGAACGGTGTATGATCAAAGGATTCGATATCGGCCGTCCATTCAAAACACTCCCAATTCGCCCATGATCTCACGCCTATTTACACGCTATGCAACTCCAAAAAAACTATAAATAAAGCTCTCATTCTACACTAAGGGGACTCAAGGGAAGAGAGAGAAGAAGAAGAGGAGAAAGGGGAAAAGGAGATTCCTCACCTCCTCGACCACCGCCGGAGCTCTTTCTGCCGCCTGAAGACGCCGGAACTCTACCGGATTTTCAGGAAACGCAGGAATTCTGCACAACTTCCACGTGATTCTAAAATCCTTACCAATTAACAACATAGTTCTCCTCTGCCACCAAAGAAGTCGGACTTCTACCCGATGTCGGACCTTCACTCTTCGCCAAGTTTCTACCCGACGCAGGACTTCTACCGGATATCGAACTTCGCTGTACGTCTACGCGAAGATTGATTTCTTTCCATGGTTGGACTTCTGCCTGACGCTGTCCTTCTGATCTTCGTCATCAGACTACAGTCCTTCTGACTTACGTCGCCGACTACAGTCTTTCTGACATCCGTCGCCCGTT